GAAAACTGGAGAGGACTCCTTATCTTTAATGGTTGTACAGAAGAGAATTTTAGCAGGTGGTGCTTATCACACAATCAGGTAACAAGCAACAAAGGTCATTCCGCAGTCAAAAAAACCAGCTATTTTTGGCCCATTGGTGGCAATATGGCGGCGGCGGCAGTGGCGGCAGCGGCGGGGGGGATTTCCCCTTCCCATTATTTTAGGCAATTGCATTGTTTGTCCTTATAGCCCTCACTAAGACCTGGATTAAAACCATCAGAGTTACTTAAGATGCCACTCTTCCTGTGATACTTTTCCCTCGGTCTGCAGAGGAGACCTGGGTTTAAAGAAAGGGCACGCTCGAAAAGTAGAGGAAGAGCCGGGATTGGCTCCCACTTGTCTTCATGTTAGGCAGGTTTTTGTACCAGGAGGGCCCTTCCAGTTATGTGCTCATGAAGGTACTGTTTGATACAAAAGGAATTGCCAGAGTGAAAACTGGAGAGGTCTCCTTATCTTTAATGGTTGTGAAGAAGAGAATTTTAGCAGGTGGTGCTTATCACACAATCAGGTATTTATTTATCGTGTCAGGAGCAACCAGACAGTTGTATTACATTTTTAACAAAGCAAACAAACAAACAAAACACGAAGTTTGCAAGCTTGGTAGTTGATTAAATGTCCTTTGACCAGTATCTGGCCACTTGGAGTGCCTCTGGTGTTGCTGCAAGAAGGTCCTCCATTGTGCATGTGGCAGGGCTCGGGATGCATTGCAGCAGGTGGTCAGTGGTTTGCTCTTCTCCACACTCACATGTCGTGGATTCCACTTTGTAGCCCCATTTCTGAAGGTTGGCTCTGCATCTCGTGGTGCCAGAGCGCAGTCTGTTCAGCACCTTCCAAGTCGCCCAGTTTTCTGTGCACCCAGGGGGGAGTCTCTCATTGAGGTTCTGGGTTTGAGCCTGCCACTTTTGGACTCTCGCTTGCTGAGGTGTTCCAGCGAGTGTCTCTGTAGATCTTAGAAAACTATTTCTTGATTTAAGTCGTTGATGTGCTGGCTGATATCCAAACAGGGGATGAGCTGGAGATGTCTCTGCCTTGGTCCTTTCACTATTGGTTGCTACTTCCCAGCGGATGTCAGATGGTGCAATACCGGCTAAACAGTGTAATTTCTCCAGTGGTGTAGGGCACAGACACCCCGTGATAATGCGGCATGTTTCATTAAGAGCCACATCTACTGTTTTAGTGTGGTGAGATCTGTTCCACACTGGGCATGCATACACAGCAGCAGAGTAGTATAGCGAAAGGGCAGATGTCTTCACTGTATCTGGTTGTGATCCCCAGGTTGTGCCAGTCAGCTTTTGTATGATATTAGTTTTAGCGCCCACTTTTTGCTTGATATTCAGGCAGTGCTTCTTGTAGGTCAGGGCACGGTCCAGAGTGACTCCCAGATATTTGGGTGTGTTGCAATGCTCCAGTGGGATTCCTTCCCAGGTAATCCTCAGAGCTCGGGATGCTTGTCTGTTCACAATCAGGTAACAAGCAACAAAGGTCAAGCCTTCCAAAATCTGAAATGACCCCAAAATCTGAAGTGCCACAGCCACCCACTTCTACCTTCAAGGCAGTGGCTGTGACACTTCTGCTTGTCTGCTCACAAGCCTGAATCGTGTGACTCACAGGATCCCCAAAGATCTCCTGCAAAGTACTGTATTTTTAAATATATCAGGTCTGTTGTATCCTCAGTATTTCAAATCCTCTTTACAGCCTTGCAAGTAGTGAACAATTAAGATGTGAGGCAGTAGAGAAACATGAGGATCTGTAAAATCGTAGGAGGCATTGATTTCCACTAACCACTACACTTGGATTCCCATAATTTCACAGATCCTCAATCTCTTTCCAACCATAAACACAAGTAATGTATGAATGAAAAGGGCGAAGCTGGAGATGAATGTGAGGATCTGTGAAATGGCAAGGGATGTGGATTTCAGTTGCACATTAGGCTTAGATTCCAACCATTTCGCAGATCTTTACTCTTTCCAGCCTTGCATCTCCGACACAGCACAAATAGTGATTGAACATAATGTGAATCTGGAAGGAGACACAAAGACCTGCTAAATGGAGGGTGGCATGGATTCCTACCTAGATATCCCATTATGTACTGTGTATGCGAATACCCCAAAATCCGAAGGAAAAAAATCCCAAAACGGAAACACTTCTGATCCCAAGCATTTTGGATAAGGGCTATTCAAGCTGTACCAATTCCCTTCTTCTATACAAGTACTAAAGATATAGCAGCACTCTTCAGTTTTCACTCTGGCAATCCTATCAGTGTGAATTGAACAAAATGGTGCTTACATTTTTGATGGTACAGGATCTCATCAAAGAAGTATTTGGTGATTTGACCTGGAAACATGCTTCTCGAACATGCTAAGGTGCTCCGTTTTGTAAGAATTATGAAAAAAAAATCTTTCCACCAAAATGGCCTTTTTCTGTCCCACCTGCTGTAGGGCAGGAAAATCTACTATCTCTGTGCAAAATGGTTGCTCATTAGAGAGGATCGTCTCTTTCCCCAGTAACAGCCACGACAGCAATTGACGTCAAGAAATCAGGAAAAAAAAGCACCATGAATTATAGATAGTTCTAAGAACTTGCGCTCGCCTGCCACCCGCCATGGCTTGAAATGAGTGCGAAGGATCTTTAATTTCTCCAAGTATGCGGAGGCAAATAATGAACTCTCCTAATAAAACCTAACGGTCTTTTTATTGTTCAAAAGCAAGGTGGGAAGAGGCCATCAAGGATTGAATTGCAGCGGAATGGACTCTATTGATTTCACTTAATAACATAGGCACAGTATCTTAAATGCTTCGTTCGCCTTGCAAAAACATTACGGAAACAGAAGTGAGCAAATATCACAGAGCTCTCGCAATATACAGGGTTTTTTTAAAAAAAATCTGCACCTTTTAAACCTGTATTGTGCTGTAGATGTTATTTCTCTATCCAACTGAGCAAAGGATGAGAGTCAAGTAGGAAAATAAATTAAAGCTGGAGAGACTAAGGATAGGGTGGCATGGATGATCTGATCTGCATGGATTCTAGGGAAGTAATGTTACCCCTCTATTCTGTCTTGGTTAGACCACACCTGGAATATTGTGTCCAGTTCTGGGCACCACAATTGAAGAGAGATATTGACAAACTGGAATGATCAAGGGTCTGGAGAACAAGCCCTATGAAGAGCGGCTTAAGGAGCTGGGCATGTTTAGCCTGAAGAAGAGAAGGCTAAGAGGAGACATAATGAGGGCCATGTATAAATATGTGAGAGGAAACCACAGGGAGGAGGGAGCAAGCCTGTTTTCTGCTTCCTTGGAGACT